TTGCGCAAACAGTTTTTGCGCAAGAACTCTTCTGCAAAAGGCTTCTTGTGCCAAAACCCCGCAGTGTAGACAAAACCTGAGGATGCATCTACACAGCAAAGTTATTTTGTAATAATACCCATTATTCCATAATAACTATGTGTATGTCCACACAACAATAATGTTATTTAGAAATAATTTCAAAATAATGGGAGGCTTGCATTCTGTTTTCTGCAAACCTAATTCTATGAAGAATAACACCTATTCCAAAATAGCTATTTCAGAATAGGAGCTGTGTAGATGCACCACCTCCACTATTTCAAAATAGCCCCTCAACAGGGCCATTCTAAGTTATTCCTCCCCAGTGCCTCCTGGGGCTCTACATCGAGATAGCATGTCTACCTTAGGGAAGCCTGCCTCAGACTAATTTTGAGCCTTCCCTGCAGTGTAGCTGTGCTATTTCAAAATAAGCTGTTTCAGAATAACTATTCCAGAATAGCTTATTTTGAGATAGCTGTGCAGTGCAGACGTAGCCTGAGATAAGCACCCGTGTGGATAGTGCTGTACCAGTGGGAGATACTCTTCTGCCTATGCAGCCACTGCTGCTTGTTGGGGGTGCTTTGCTTATGCTGCTCAAGAGCGCTCTCCTGTAGGCATAGAGCAGGAGCTCCTATAGCAGCCCCAGTGTAGCTCCATCAGTCCAACTGTGCTGCTATAAGGTCTGTAGTGTACACACCACCTTACCCTTCATTCCTCTGTACCAACCTAAGGACTTCCGATACGCTGATTCATAAAACTTATGGGCTACGCAGTGCTTGCTGAGATGCATTCCCCAGCAGCCTGGCTGAGCGGCACAGAAGTCAGCCGAGTGCCACGGCGGGAGGCGAAGGAGGTGACAGGGAGGTGACGGAACGCTTTTCCACAAAAGCACTTTTTGCGGAAAAGCGCTCATGGCAATCTAATTATTTTGAGATAGCTGTGCAGTGCAGACGTAGCCTGAGATAAGCACCCGTGTGGATAGTGCTGTACCAGTGGGAGATACTCTTCTGCCTATGCAGCCACTGCTGCTTGTTGGGGGTGCTTTGCTTATGCTGCTCAAGAGCGCTCTCCTGTAGGCATAGAGCAGGAGCTCCTATAGCAGCCCCAGTGTAGCTCCATCAGTCCAACTGTGCTGCTATAAGGTCTGTAGTGTACACACCACCTTACCCTTCATTCCTCTGTACCAACCTAAGGACTTCCGATACGCTGATCCATAAAACGTATGCTGTTTTGGAAAGGCTGCCTGGTGTCATTGCAGTGCTTGCTGAGATGCATTGCACACTGACGTGTACAAATCAGATAGATGTCTGTCTCGGCCTCGCTGGGCAGCGCTCATGGTATTAGGCAGGAGTGCTGGAGCCCCGAGGCTGAGTCTCAGATGTGGTGAGGCTGCAGGGCCTCTCCCAAAGGAAGAGTGAGCACACCGAAGGGATTTTTCCAAGACTCTTCAAAGAAATTGAGGGGTAGCACTGAACTTGTGAATCCACGACAGCGAACCTTAATGTGAGGCATGCTAATGTACTGACTTACATACCTCTCCTTCCTGCTTTCTTTGCTTTCTCTCCCCTCCTATAGGTCTCTATAATGATCAAAGCCAGTGCCTGGGTGTCTTCAGACTGTGCAAACGTTAACACTCACAACCTTAGCTGCACAATGCAGATGAATATCATATATATAGTAGCCCAATGTCTGTGACTCTGTAACGCTGAAATGCTGGCTGTTGACTCTGGGCGGCCCTGTTGACTGAATCACGTCCTTTGCCTCCCGCCATGGCGCTCGGCTGATTTCTGTGCCGCTCAGCCAGGCTGCTGCGGGGGAGCCCAAACGGCTGCTTCCTCCACTGGCTCCCCCACAGCAGCCTGGCTGGGCCTCCAGGCCCCGCCTCCTGGCTATGGATGTCACCGCCCCACCCCCCTTCACCTCCCACAGTGGTGCTCGGCTGACTTCTGCACCACTCAGCCGGGCCGCCGCGCGGTAGCATGAGGCACAAGTGACCATTTGGGGTCTGCACACCCCATGCAGCACGGGGAGCGAGGAACCCAAATGGCTGTTTGGGCTCCGCATTCCCCCAAGTGAGAGGCAGGAGGGAGAGGAGAAAAGAAAGAGAGAAATGGAGAGAGAGGGAGGAGAGCTGAGAGAG